CCAGTAGATAGTTGTATGTCATAGTTGCACATCCTTCTAGTTGTGGGACGCGGCCTCAGCATGGCCGGAGAAGCGGTGTGTCGGTGCGTGCCCGGGATCCTAACCCGGGTGGCCAGTAGCGGAGCGCACGCACTTAACCGCTAAGCCACGGGGCCAGCCCTCCAACTTCATTCTTTTGCATGTGGATATTCAGTCTTCCCAACACCATTTGTTGAAAAGACTGCCCTTTCCCCTATTGAATGGTCTTGGCACCCTTGTCTAAAATCATTTGACCATATATGTGATGGTTTATTTCAGGGCTTTCTCTATTCTATTTGTTTGTATATCTGTATTTATGTCGGTGTCACATTGTTTTCATTACTATAGCTTTGTAGTCAGTTTTGAAATCAGGATGAATGCATCCTTCATCTTTGTTATTGTTTTCAAGATTGTTTTGGGTGTTCTGGGTCCCTTGAGATTCCATATGAATTTTAGGATGAGTTTCTATTTCTGTAAAGAATTCCATTGGGATTTTGATAGAGATTGCGTGATTCTGTAGATTGCTTTGGGTAGTATTGACTTGTTAACAATCTTAAGTCTTCTAATCCATGGACATGGGATGTATTTCCATTTGTTTTATGTCTTTAATTTCTTTCAGCAATATTTTGTGGATTTTATTGTACAAGTCTTTCACCTTCTCGGTTACTTCCCCTAAGCATTTTATTCTTTTTGATGCTATTATAAATGAAATTGTTTTTGTAATTTCCTTTTCACATAGTTCATTGTTAGTATATAGAAAGGTTAGTGTAGAAGTGTGGGTAATTTTTGTGTGTTGACTTGTACCCTGCTCCTTTGCTGAATTCATCTAATAGTTTTTGTAGAATCTTTAGGATTTTCTACATATAAGATCATATCATTTGTGAACAGGTAACTTTACTTCTTCCTTTCCATTTTGGATATTCTTTTACTTCTATTTTCCTGCCTAATAACTCTGGCTCAAACTTTACTACTAAGTTGAGTACAAGTGGTGAAAGTGGTCATTCTTGTCTTATTCCTGATCTTAGAGGAAAAACTTTCAGGTTAGCACCATTGAGTGTGTGGTGTTGGCTGTGGCTTTCATATATGGCTTTTATTATGTTAAGGTAGTTTCCTTCTATTCCTAGTTTATTAAGTATTTTTATCAGGAAAGTGTGTTCAATTTTGTCACGTGCCTTTTCTGCATCAATTGTGATGATCGTGTGTTGTTTTCCCTTCATTGTGTCAATGTGGTGTATTACATTGATCAATTTTCATATGTTGAACTGTCCTTGGAATATATCCCACTTTGTCATGGTGTATAATCCTTTCAATAAACTGCTGAATACTGTTTGCTAGTATTTTGTTGAGAAGTTTTACATCAGTGTTCATAAGAGATAATTGTCTGTATTTTTCTTATAGTGTCTTTGTCTGGCTTTGGTGTCAGGGTAATGCTGGCCACATAGAATGAGTTAGGAAGTGTTCCCTCCCCTTCAATTTTTTGGCAAAGTTTGAGAAAAATTCATGTTAGTTCTTTAAATGTTTGGTAGAATTTACCAGTGAAGTCATCAGTTCTAGGGCTTTTTTGTGTGTGTGAGATTTTTGATTATCAAGTCCATCTACTCATTTTTTAAGTCTATTCACATTTTCTATTTCTTTGTGATTTAGTTTTGGTGGGCTTTGTGGTTTTAGGAATTCGTCCATTTCATTTAAGTTATCCAATTTGTTGGCGTCCAATTGTCTGTAATACTCGCATAGTCCTTTTTATTTCTGTAGAATTGGTAGTAATGTCACAATTTTTATTTCTGATATTAGAGTGTGAGTCCTCTTTTTTTCTTAGTTCACCTACCGAGCTAAAGGTTTGTTGATCTTTTCACAGAACCTGCTTTTTGTTTCATTGATTTTTCTCTTTTTCTGTTCTCTATTTTATTCATCTCTGCTGTGCTCCTTATTTCCTTTCTTCTAGTTACTGGGTTTAGTTTGTTCTTCTTATTCTCTTTCCTTAAGTTGTACTGCCAGGTTGTTCATTTGAGATCTTTTCTGTTTTTTTAATGTAAGCATTTGTAGCTATAAATTTCCCCCTTTGCACTGCTTTTGCTTTATTCCATAAGCTTTGGTATGTTGTGTTTTTATTTTCCTTCATCTCTTAAGTATGTTATTTCCCTTGTGATTTCTTTTTTGATCTATTGGTTGTTTTAAGAGTGTGTTGTTTAATTCCACAGGTTTTTGAACTTTCCAGTTTTATTTCTGTTGTTGATTTCTAACTTATCTAACTGGTCAGAGAAAATAATTTATATGATACCTATCTTTTTAAATATTTTGAGAGTTAATTTGTGGGCTAACATATGGTCTATGCTAGAAATTGTCCCATGTGCACTTGAAAAGAATGTGTATGCTGTTGTTGTGTAGAGGGTTCTATATCTGCCTCTTAGATCTAGTTGGTTTGTGTTAAGTCCTCTATTTCCTTACTTATCTTCTGACTGGTTATTCTGTCCCTTATTGAGAGTGAGGTATTGAAGTTTGCAACTGTTAATGTAGAATTGTCTGTTTATCCCTTCAATTTTGTCAGTTTTTTGCTTCATATATTTTGATGGTCTGTTATTAGGTGTGTAAATATGTATAATTGTTAATTTGCTTTATTGAACCTTTTATTAGTATGTAATGTCTTGTAAAACTTTTTTGATTTAAAGTTGATTTTGTCTGATATTAGTATAGCTACTCCGCTCTCTTCTGGTTACTATTTCCATGGAATATCTTTGTCCATCTTTTCATTTTCAGTCTATTTGTGTCTTTGGATCTAAAGTGAGTTTCTTGTATATAGCCTATAGTTGGATTATGCATTTTTATCCATTCTGGCAATCTCTGTCTTTTGATTGGAGACCAGTTTAATCCACTTACATTTAAAGTAGTTTTGATTAGAAGAGACTTATTTCTGTCATCTTGGTATTTGTTTTCTAGAAGACTTAGAGCCATTTTGTCCCTTATTTCCTGCATGATTGTCTTCTTTAGTGTTTAGTTGATTTTTATAGTGAAATGTTTTAAATTCCTTTCACATTTCCTTTTGTTTATATTCTATTGCTGTTTTCTTTGTTTTTACCACAGGGGTTACATTTAATATCCAAAAGTTGTAACACTCTAGTTTGAATTTATACCAGTTTAACTTCAATAACATACAAACACTCTGTTCATTTTCCTGTAACAGCTTCATTCCCTCCCTTTTTGGTTATTGATGTCACAAAATTACATCTTTATACATTGTATCCTACCCAGAAACATAATCTAATAATTATTTTAAATGAATTGGTTTCTTAAATTATGTAGAAAATAAGATATGGAGTTACAAATCAAAGTTGGAGTAATACTAGCTTTTAAACTAATAATTCTTTTATTTTTAAAAATGTATGTTTCTTAAATCATGTAGAAAAACATAGAATTACACACTAGTATTGTTACAATACTACTAGCTTTTATAATTGTCCACATATTTGTCTTTATTGAGATCTTTATTTTGTCATACAGCTTTGATTTACTATCTAGTGTCCTTTCATTTCACCCTATAGGACTTGTTTGAGCATTTCTTGCAGAGCAGGTCTAATGGTAATGAACTCTCCTTCAGCTTTTATCTGTGAATGTTTTAATTTCTCCTTCATTTTTGAAGTTTTGCTGTATATAGGATTCTTGGTTGATATTTTTTTTTCTTTTAAAACTTCGAACACTACCTTCTGGCATCCAGTGTTTCTGATGAGAAATCTGATAATCTTATTGAGAATCCCTTGTACGTGAGTTCTCTTGCTGCTTTCAAGATCCACCACCACCCCCACCACCCCGCCCCCAGGGGAAGATTCACCCTGAGCTAACATCTGTTGCTAATCCCCCCACCCCCCACCCCCACCCCAAAGCCCCAGTGCATGGTTGTATATCCTAGTTGTACCTCCTTCTAGTTCTGCTATGTGAGCTGCGGCCACAGCATGGCAACTGACAGACGGGTGGTGTGGTTCTGTGACTGGGAAATAAACCACAGCTGCTGAAGTGGGAGCACCAGACTTTAACTACTAGCCTACCAGGGCTGGCTCTCTGTCTTGGTCTTTTGCAAGTTTGATTATAATGTGTCTTAGTTGGGTCTCTTGGAGTGTGTTAAGCTTCTTTGATGTTTATATTCGTGTCTTTCATCAAGTTTGAAGTTTTAGGCCGTTATTTCTTCAATATTCTCTCTGCCCCTTTCTCTCTCTCTCTCCTGCTTCTGGACTCCCTCAATGTGTGTGTTGGTCTATTTGATCTTGTCCCACAGGTCCCTTAAGCTCCGTTTACTTTTCTTAGATCTTTTTTTTTCTGTTCCTTAGACTTAATAATTTCCATTGTCCTATGTTCAAGTTCCCTGATACTTTGTTGTGCTTGCTCAAATGTGTGTTTGAATGAGAGGTGGGGGATGTGTAGCTGGTACTCTGCTAAGAGGTTTAATTGACTGAAATTAACCTCAATTTATTGTCCAAGCCTTCCCCTGGAAGTTACAAGCCTTTCAATAGACTTTAGTTCCAAAATAGTTACATCACACTGATTCTGCCAGTGCAGTTGTTCTCTAGGCTGGGGAGGAGATTACCTGTACTTTGTACTCCACCATCATCCCAGAATCATCTTTGTCTTATATAAAAGTGTTTAAAGATAGCATTTGCAGTATAAAACCTGGGCTAAAGCCATTTTCTTCTTATTTTATATTAACAATAGAAGGTGTTGAAAGAAATAGGTAATTTGGTTTTGGGGAGGATGATGGTAGAATTATTCTTAAATGGAAAAAAAAAAGTAATAAGCCTCCCTGAAGTGTTTCTCAAGGTTATTAGATGAGCTTCATTCTATTTTGTCTGCAAAATGGTATTGGCTTCATAGTGGCATTTGCTAATTCTTTTACTTTTTTTCTGAGTCCAAGACATATAACTAAATAAAATCTCATTTGTTCACATGTATTAATACCTCTAAAACTCAAGTTGAATAGAGCTTGATGGGAATTTTGGCCTGTCATAATTAAGTGACTGCACTCAGTTCATAATTTCAGATTTGTTTTTCTACCAGTTTAAGTATAAAAGCTTCCATAGGGTAGTTGATGTGCTTACCAGACTGTAATTATACTTTTTTAAAAAATCCTTTTCTAGCTCTAATCAACTTTTTGTTCTTCCCCAAGTTGGCGTAAAACTCTTAATTATTGGAATTAAAATATGGTATAAAACCTTGCTTTAAACTTGTAATATAGTTCAGTCTTAATGAACAGCTTGAGTTAAAATAGAAATGACTTAAAATTATTAAAATAGAAATAGTTTTATTTCATTGTTTTTTTCTTAGATTGAAGTATAGTTGACATACAATATTATATTAGTTTCAGGTGTACAGTATATTTTCTGATATAGAAATACTGAAAGTTTTTTGACCTCAAAATCCATGCTCTTTTTGCAAGATCCTGCTGCTTGAAATTATATTATAAAGCTATTTAAACATTTACTTTTTAAAATTTATACTCAGGCTTAGCTTCAAACTTGGCTCTTAATGTAACTGTAAAAAGAGTAAGAGTGTTTTATCTCAACTTTTTTTGTGTGTGTGTGTGAGGAAGATCAGCCCTGAGCTAACATCCGTGCTAATCCTCCTCTTTTTGCTGAGGAAGACTGGCTCTGAGCTAACATCTATTGCCAATCCTCCTCCTCTTTTTCCCCAAAGCCCCAGTAGATAGTTGTATGTCATAGTTGCACATCCTTCTAGTTGCTGTATGTGGGACGCCGCCTTAGCATGGCTGGGCAAGCGGTGCGTCGGTGCATGCCCGGGCTCCGAACCCGGGCCGCCAGTAGCGGAGTGTGCACACTTAACTGCCAAGCCACGGGGCTGGCCCCTCAGCTTTTTTTTAATGAGATAAGGCCCATGTGAATCATTTGTTTAGTTATCAGATTTCATAAGTTTTCATATTAATGGTCTAGAGGTAATTTGGTATTGATATTGGGCTTTTCCTATATATCATAAACACTTAAGATTGCTCATAACACTAAAAATAGTAAAGTAAAATTTCTCACCATGGAAATGAAAAACTTTGGCATACTTTAATATTGATGTGTGCTAAAAGAGAACAACCTTAGGGAATCTCATTAACAATTGATGAGAAAGGACTATGGGTTAAAAATAAGGAAATTCATATTTTGGCTCTAGTTCTGTCAATAAATACATGTATTTACCCTGATTAATTTAATGGTCATTGGTGACTAAATCTGTAAGTTATTATTTTCTTTTTAATTATTATTTAGTGGCATCTTTATTTTCATTCACGGTTTATATATTCTCTGATGGCAATTTAATTTTAGCTAGGTTTATCAATGAGATGTACCCATTTGACTTTGTTGTGCCTATTTGGCTCTCTTCACTCCAATATTTTATTTCCCCTTTTACAACATCCTTAATGTTAAATGAAATGCAGACAAGAAACTGTGACTTGTGATTCTTTAGAGCATGATTTTACATTGGCAAAATAAACTTCCTTTTAAAATTCATCCCTGGTTCTCTGAAAAAAGAGTTCATAAGTTCTTGGCTTTGTAATTGTAACAGATGACATGCTGTAGAATGAAATATGGCTCTGGTTTTCTTTGGAATGAAAACTTTTTGGGGGAGGTATGTGTATGGTTCTCATTTTCATGTATCATACTCGACGCCCTTCACATAGAATAACGATTTATTTGTTTGAAGATAGCTGGTGATCACTCCGTTATTGTCAGACTTAGAGTCATTAGTTTTTTTATAGATAATAGTCCCTTGATCAAAAAAGTTTAAGTAAACCAGTGTGTTCTATTTTAAGTATTTATAGAGCATTTGTGTTTTCACATAATTCCTAGTGAACCACAAGTAAATATTGACAGTAGCATTAATATTGAAACAATGGAAAAACATGTAATATTTGAAATGTTTTATTATTACAAAATATCAAGTACAAATTTTCATGTGGTAAAGCATTTGGACCTGTGATCTCTATCATAAGAATCTAGCTTTGAGGAAATCTAAGGTTTTGTTAATCTAATATTATCTCATTGATCGCTACCAGTATTAGAATACAAAACAGTGTTTTCTAGTGTTAAGGATGCTTTCTTCCTTATTACTTCAGTACAAACATCATGTAGTTGATAAGTAACATAGATGAATATCATTATCTTTCACCTTTTTTTTTGGGCAGAGGATGACCCAGGTTTCACTAGACAAGACAGCAATCGCAGTGAAAAAGAGACCACACAAGTGGTACATGAAGCAGAACCAGAATCAGGGTCTCAACCTCGGCCTGCTGTACTGTCTGGCTATTTTAAACAGTTTCAGAAGTCTTTACCACCACGATTCCAGCGGCAGCAGGTACAAATAAAAACATTTTATCGTGTACATGTGATTGAAAATTTTTATTGTTCAATTGTCTGAGAAATAACTTGACATAAAGCCTCAAGTATACAAAGCACACAAATGTTCCCTGAAATTTTTTCCCTTTTTAATAAAAGTTTCTTGATATGGGTTTTACCATGAACTTCTGTCTCATTCCTTTTTTTTCTCTGCCTCATTTATAGACACCATCTTCCTTTCTAGGAAATGGTTTCTGCAGTATAATTAATGAGTGATTAATTGCTTAAGTCAAGTATAAGGCAGAAGTGTCATAACTTACTGGTTGTTCTTTTGTCTTGCCACCTCTCACTGTTAAATGTCTTTTGAATTCTTCTCCCTGAAGGATTCAAAAAATACCTTTTATTTTTTTTTTAATGATTGATTATATTACATGGAACTAAAATCTTAAGCTGTGGGATCCTGCTTTTTCAGGAACAGATGAAACAACAGCAGTGGCAGCAGCAGCAACAGCAAGGTGTACTGCCGCAAACGGTTCCTTCACAGCCATCTAGTGGTGCTGTCCCTCCTCCACCACACAGACCTCTTTACCAGCCCATGCAGCCGCACCCTCAGCATTTGGCTTCTATGGGTTTTGATCCAAGGTGGCTCATGATGCAGTCGTACATGGATCCTCGAATGATATCAGGTAGACCTGCTATGGATATTCCACCCATTCATCCTGGTAAGTTGAAATTGGCATTGTCTCATGGCTCACTTGCAGTTATGCAAGGTCAAAGTTTTTCATTTTTCCCCCATTTTTAGTCTTAATTCCTTTGAGAATTATAAGAACTTATATAGTACTGTAGATTTTTAATCACAAAATTATGTAACTTGCTTTCAGCACAGGGTAGTTAAATGCCAGGCACTGTACCAATAGTGTGGTAAGACCAAAATACTAGTTATTTTCTGTTTTGTAAATATTATTTAAAGTTTTTGAGCGATAAAATTATAGCCTTATTAATATCTATTATTTGCTGCATTGTTTTCATTCTTTTAAGTGTTTCAGTATTTGAATTTTGTCCATATATGTTCCAGCTTTTCAATTTTATCCACCATTTACCAGCCTAATACTTGAATTTCCTGATAGGTTAGCTAAAGACAAATGAATTAGCAGTCTTTTATGAAATCTATCAGAATAAACCCGGATAAGCCATTGCCAAAATGGTGTAGAGGAAAATTTAGGGATGATAAAAAAAAAAATCAAGAATCACATCTTGATACTGAAATTTTAAATTTAAGAGGTATAATTTATTATATCATATTGATCAACTAATTAAACTAGATTAATAGAATTTTCTTTAGAAAATATTTTCTCTGAAAATTTATCACTGTTGATATAATTCTCATTATGTTTGTATTAACATGCATAGAGTCACAATGCTTGTTATCTGGTTTTTATAGACATTTTTGTCTTTTGAAATAAAGTAGGCTGCTATTGTGGGGGTTTTTGCTTTGCTTCCTCAATTTTTAAATCTATTTATTTAACAGCAACAATAAAAATCTCATTCACGGAAAAACTCTTATAATTTTCACTGATCATTTGTTGATAACAATTTTATTTGGCAAGAAGTATTTCCTTAGCTTAAGTATAAAGAATTCCAAATACTAATTGTTAACCTAGATTCTATGTCTATAATGATTTTGTTTCTTCTTTTTTTTTTCTCCCCCTCTTTTTCTGACCTTTTGTACAGGAATGATTCCTCCTAAGCCGTTAATGCGAAGAGACCAGATGGAAGGGTCACCAAACAGTTCTGAATCGTTTGAGCATATAGCTCGATCTGCAAGAGATCACGCAGTTTCCCTCTCTGAGCCTCGTATGATGTGGGGGTCAGATCCGTATCCTCATACTGAGCCTCAGCAGGCCACTGTTCCCAAGGCAACAGAAGAATCTGAGGATGTAAGGTAATTATTAAAATTGTTGATAGACCAAATATAATATTGTGATGAAAACTGTGTAGTGTTCCTGAAGATCATTCTGATCTAGGACTGAGCCACAAATCTGATTTCATCCCATTTAGTGTGCTTCATTTCATTTTTGAACCTGTTTTTTCTGGCATTTCTGTTTTTGTTTGTTTGTTTGTTTGTTTGTTTTTTTACAATTTTTATTTATTTATTTTTTCCCCCAAAGCCCCAGTAGATAGTTGTATGTCATAGCTGCACATCCTTCTAGTTGCTGTATGTGGGACGCGGCCTCAGCATGGCCGGAGAAGTGGCGTGTTGGTGCGCGCCCGGGATCCGAACCCGGGCCACCAGCAGCGGAGCGCGCACACTTAACCACTAAGCCACAGGGCCGGCCCGGCATTTCTGTATTGATTAGGGCATTTTGTAATCTAGTTCTGTACACTGAATTAAATCCTGAAATTCAGTGTTAGATGTTAAAATTGGCAAGTTTCTGCTGTTGATTAGGTACTTAACATGTAGTCTGGCTAAAGTGTTGATGTAATTCTTCCACTAATGAGAGATGGTAGACACTTAATTATCAATATCTTGTGGAAGTATTTTAAGGCCAAGATCAGGACAAATACTAATTTACAAAGATACTTTGAAGTAGCAGACAATTAGTGATCTCTAATAATCTACAACCATAAAGTTAGAACTTCTGCCCTTTTAAGGAGTATATTTTATGATTCTGATTCATTGAGAAAGACCTACTCTAGTATACGCTTTGATTATAAGTGGAAATTATTAGTCTTGCTGGATTAAAAATTCACATCATCATAATCTAAACTTCCTTTTTTCTTAAGGAATGAACTTCATTTTTTTTTAATTGTAGGGGAAAAACAACATAACATGATATCAACTCTCTTAACAAAATTTAAGTGTATAGTACAATATTGTTAACCACAAGCACAATGTTTTACAGCATATCTCTAGAACTTTTTCATCTTACACGACTGAAACTTGATACTCGTTTAGTAGCAACTCCTCATTTCCCCCTTCCTCCCAGTCCCTGGCAGTCACCATTCTACTTTCTGCTTGGATGATTTTGATTATATTATATACCTCCTATAAGTGGAATCATGCAGTATTTATCCTTGTGTTATTTTCACTTCCATGTTGTTGCATATAACAGGATTTCTTTTCTTTTTTTAAATGCCTAATGACATTCCGTTGATGTATATATCACATTTTCTTAACCCATTCGTCCATCAGTGGACATTTAAGTTGTTTCCACCTCTTGGCTGTTATGAATAATGCTGCACTAAACTTTTTATAGAGACATAAAGATGTTCTTTATGATTAGGATGCATTGTTTTATGTTTTAAAATTGGAAGGATTAATTTGCTGTACACTTACATGTAAGAAAGATTTTGCCTTGATGGTTATGCCTTTGAATTCTCATCATCCTAGGCCTGAAGCCCCATTGGATCAGGAACAGATTACTGCTGCTTATCCTGTAGAACATAGTCAATTAGAGGCTCATCCAAAAGCAGATTTGGTCAGAGAATCAAGTGAGACAGAAGTACAAAAGTTTTTAAGCAGATCTGTGGAAGACATTAGACCTCGCCACACTGACACAAATAATCAGTCGTCTTGTTTTGATGTATCTGAGCAAAAGACTGTATCCACTCCTCAAGAAGAACGGATTTCAGCTGGAGAAAGTCAGCCTGCCCGGAAAAGAAGTGTTTCCCATGGATCTAACCATATTCAAAAATCAGAGGAGCAAAGAAATGAGCCATCTGCAAGCATTCCTAAAGTAACCAACAGATGCATTGATTCAAAAGAACCAGCGGAAAGGCCAGAGGAAAAACCAAAAAAGGATAGCTTTATACGACCTTCAGAAGGACCAAAACCTGAAAAGTTGTATAAGTCTAAATCAGAAACTCGTTGGGGCCCAAGGCCAGGCTCCAACAGAAGAGAAGAAGGTAATGATAGGCCTGTGAGAAGATCAGGTCCCATTAAAAAACCTGTACTTAGAGATATGAAAGAGGAACGAGAGCAAAGGAAGGAGAAGGAAGGAGAAAAGATCACTGAAAAAGTTGTAAAACACGAAAAGACAGAAAAGAAAGATCCTCTTCCTCCGCCCCCACCACCTGCAGCACCGATTCAGCCACAGTCAGTTCCACCACCACCTCAACCAGAACTAGAGAAATTTCCTTCAACAGAAACTTCAGCTTTGGTGCAAAAGCCACCTCAAGATACTGAGAAGCCCTCGGAACCTGTAAGTAATGTTGAGGTAGAGCCTGCTGCTAAAACTGTAAACCAACAAACTGTCACAGCACCACCAGTCAAAGAGGAAAAACAACCTGAGAAAGTTATCAGCAAAGACCTTGTTATAGAGAGGCCTCGACCAGATTCAAGACCAGCAGTTAAAAAAGAATCTTTACCCCCTAGGACCTATTGGAAAGAAGCTAGAGACAGAGATTGGTTTCCAGATCAAGGATACAGAGGTCGAGGCCGAGGTGAATATTACTCCAGAGGCAGAAGCTATAGAGGCTCTTATGGAGGGCGTGGCCGGGGTGGTAGAGGGCACACTCGAGATTATCCTCAGTATAGAGACAGTAAGCCACGAACAGAGCATGTGCCCTCAGGACCTCTCAGACAGCGAGAAGAAAGTGAAACACGAAGTGAGAGCTCCGATTTTGAAGTCGTTCCCAAAAGAAGACGACAGCGAGGTTCAGAGACTGACACAGACAGTGAAATTCATGAAAGTGCAAGTGACAAGGATAGTTTAAGCAAAGGTAAACTTCCCAAAAGAGAGGAACGATCTGAAAACAAAAAACCTATAAAGCCTCAATCTTCTTTCAAGCCTGAAAATCATGTCCGAATAGATAATAGACCTCTAGAAAAATCGTATGTAAGGGATGATGATAAATCTAAACCAGGCTTCCTTCCTAAAGGAGAGCCTACAAGGCGAGGCAGAGGGGGAACATTCAGACGTGGTGGAAGGGATCCTGGAGGTCGCCCATCACGCCCTTCCACCTTACGAAGACCTGTTTATCGGGACAATCAGTGGAACCCAAGGCAGACAGAAGCTCCTAAACCAGATGATGGAGAGCCACCAAGAAGACATGAGCAGTTTATTCCTATACCAGCAGATAAACGACCTCCAAAATTTGAGCGAAAATTTGACCCAGGTAGAGAGAGGCCTCGAAGGCAACGTCCTACTCGACCACCACGGCAAGATAAGCCTCCTCGATTTAGACGGCTAAGAGAAAGGGAGGCTGCTTCAAAAACTAATGAGGTAGCTGTGCCAACAAATGGCACAGCTAATAATGTGGTTCAAGAATCAGTTAATACTGCTGGAGATATTTCTGGGAATAAGACACCAGACCTATCTAATCAGAACTCTTCAGATCAGGCAAATGAAGAATGGGAAACAGCTTCTGAAAGCAGTGATTTCAATGAGAGGCGTGAGAGGGATGAAAAAAAAAATGCTGATTTGAGTGCACAAGCAATTTTAAAGGCCGGAGAGAATGTTTTACCTCCAAAAAGGGAAATAGCAAAGAGAAGCTTTTCTAGTCAGAGACCTGGTGTAGATCGTCAGAATCGGCGTGGCAACAGCGGTCCACCTAAATCTGGAAGGAATTTCTCAGGTCCTAGAAATGAAAGGAGAAGTGGCCCACCATCAAAAAGTGGAAAGCGAGGGTGAGTACTTTGTTTTAGATCTAATTACTTTTGCACATTTAAAAAAGCTGAAAGTAGACTTCTTGGTTGAACTGTGCAAAAAGGAGCAAGTCTAGATAGAGGACCAAAACATTGTTCTCCCCAAATTCTTTTCTCTGTTCTCGAAGTGTAATGGTGCTTGAGGAAGAGAGGTTATTGTGTCTCAAGAGTCTTTACCTGCTAAGTTACATTTTCCGAAAGAGTCTTCTTAAGAATTTGTAGCTTTGGGGAAATCTGCACACCTAGGGAGGGACCTGTACAGGTTCTCCATTTGTTAAGTCATCTTATTGATGATGAGTAGACCTCCTTTCTTTCTTGGTTTCTCTTTGCAAAACTCTGGTGCTCACAAGTATCCTCTGGGACCTAAATTAATATGTTGTAACCATATACTTTATCACTCTGTACTGGTTTCTAGAGAGTGAATGTTGAACCTTAAGGATAAATTATATTGCCCTCTCGAGTTGCAAACCAACAATAAATGATCAGTTGGAGAGAAGCCCAGAAAGCAAAGTCCTGCCCAACCACCAAGACCACCAGTAACATAAATACCATGTCACTGGAATTTTTTTTTAATTTTGCCAAATTGTACTAAACTTGATCTGTTCTTTAAAATGTTAAAATGTTGATTATGGTAAATTATTATTGATTTCTTTAGTATTAGGAAAAATTGTAAAGTAACAGTATGCCTAGTTTGAAATCTAGGCTCTGATACTCACCAATTGTATAAACTCTGCTTTCTCACTAGTAAAATGGGGGGGAGGTAATAATACTTAAAAAAAAAGTGTGAAGATTACTGACCTGGTATTTGTGAAGTACTTAACATAATACCTGGTAAATAGTAAGCAACTTATTATGGTGTGCCCTGTTTTTTGACCAGATTCCCAGGTTTGCAGCCTGAGCTGGTAAGAAGTTTATCAGACAATATTATGTTAATCTGCATTGGTTAGTTACATATACTTAGCATTTTAGGTTGCACCCATCTACAAAAATATTTTTCTTTCTCATAATTTAGAAAAAGTTCCAGGGAAATTGTGTGACCAGTTGTGTTTCCTGAGTACCTGCTTAATACAGAATTTGAACCTGCCTTGAATTTAAAAGTCCAAAAGAATAGGATAATATATGTAGTTACAATAACAATGTAGTTATTGACTATAACTGAACTATTGAATTTCAAGTAATAATACCCAAGAGAAATCTTGATCTGATTTTTGTGCAGTGTAGAGCTCAACTACTTAGCAAGACTTTTGTGTCATATATGTGGTAACAACTTTGAACCTGCAGAAATAGGAGTTACTGGTTGTAGTTAAAACGAATGTTTTGCGAGAGTCCCATTTAGAAGAGATGAAATCATTCTTCAAATATTTGAGGTTATGCCTTGTGTCAAGTACTTAGTAAGCTTTTATCTTGAGTAATACAATAGGCTAAGATGAAAAAGAATTAGTAAACCCATTTTCCATGGCCTATTTTCATAAAATTTTTATAAAATGAACCCAAGAATATAATTTGTTAGAAAACAAAAACTGTAAAAATACATTTGGTTTGTGAAATGAATTGTTTCCGTTTAAAAGTGGTTTTTTTGTGTGTTTACGTTAGTGTGTAAAACTGATTGAACTTTTTAAAAAAATCATAGACATAATATAAACATAGAATGCTTTTTAAATTTTTTTTGTATGCTGCCCTCTTGTGGAGAAGATCCAATAGTGAATGCTTGGGACTCACTTGGATCACAGAAATTTTCTGCTATAAACAATGTTTGTTAGTTCATTGATAACTTGATAGGCAAATGGACACAATAAGAACCTTCAGAGGATGATTAGAATTCTAGAATTTAATGGCTGGAAAGAATTCTAGGGAGCTAGTCTGTCTACTTTATCAAGAAGCTCGGTTTTAATGAAGTTATACTCAACAAAAGTCATTAAGGCTTGTTGGTTTTAGAGTTAGGGTCTTCTATCCCACTACTGTTTCTTCTTAGATTGAATTTTAGAAACTACCAGTAAGAGCATTTTTTTTTTTTTTTATAATTTTATTTATTTATTTATTTTTCCCCCAAAGCCCCAGTAGATAGTTGTATGTCATAGTCGCACATCCCTCTAGTTGTTGTATGTGGGACGCAGCCTCAGCATGGCCAGAGAAGCGGTACGTCGGTGCGCACCCGGGATCCGAACCCTGGGCCGCCAGCATCAGAGCGCGCTCACTTAACCGCTAAGCCACCAGGCCGGCCCAAGAGCATTTTTTTTTTTTTGTTCAGGTATGTTGAGCGTATTCCTTTCGTTCAGTTATATGGAGGTAGTAATATCTCAAATTATTATTTTGTAGGCCATTTGATGACCAGTCTACAGGTACACCTGGTGTTGATCCCATCAATGGCAGTTCTACACACCACCAGGAAGGAGCACCTAATGGTACAGGACAAAAGAACTCCAAAGATTCTACTGGGAAAAAAAGAGAAGACCCCAAACCAGGCCCTAAAAAACCCAAAGAGAAAGTAGATGCGCTGTCACAGTTTGATCTCAACAATTATGCAAGTATGTCTTAGGTTCCTTTTGTTTATGTGTTTATCTCCCTATCTTTTTGTTTGTTACATTTAAGTAGATGCTGTAAATAAAGAAGTCATCAAAGAAAGAAAGAGTTGGACTACAAGGTAGAGACAGAGGCTGATTATAAATTACTAACTGATATAACTGGAACTAAAATAATACCAGCTTTTAGCATAGCCTTGAATGCTTGATAAAATTCTTGTTAAAGATAATTCAGGTGTGGGAAAGTGCATAAAATCAAATGAAGATGCTTAATTATATCTGTATGTATGCTGTGTCTTAAAGAAATGTTAACCCCCATGAGTTCTAACCGTGATAAAAATGGTATCTAAGATATGGTCAATAGAGAATAAATAATAGCGTGGGAGACACGGTTGCTATGGATAAATCCTTTCAGAAAGCCATGAAGTGATAGGATATCAAATGCAAAGGATAACACAAGCAAGAAGAAAATACTTGATGAGGAATTTAACAAGGAATATTTATGAGTAGACTCTTGTACATATAAAAACGTGCTATTTGACATCCATTTAGATGAGACTTAAGCTGGAAATACTGAATAAAATTGAGAGCTTTACTTAGTTAAGACCAGACGGTTGTAATGGAAAACTTAGGTTAGGTACGTTATTTCAGTAATAGAGATGTAGATGGGCGTTTTCTTCCGTCTAGTATAGTCATGCCTCGCTTAACGATGGGGATACATTCTGAGAAATGTACTGTTAGGTGATTTTGTCATTGTGTGAACATCGCAGAGTGTATTTACACAAACCTAGACAATATAGCCTACTACCAACCTAGGCTATATGGTACTAATCTTACGGGACCACGGTTGTTGACCAAAGCGTTGTTAGGCGGCGCGTGACTGTAAATGGTTATTTATCCATGTTAAACTTCATTTGAGCCCAGGACCTTGGCATTATTATTTCTAGACCAGTGGTTCCCAAAGTATGGTCCGCAGACCATCAACATCATCTGGACATTTGTTGAGAAATACAAAATCTTGGGTCCTACCTTAGACCTACTGAATCAGAAGCTCTTGGAATGTGTAGCAATCTGGTTTAACTAATTCTCCAGGTGATTCCAATGCATGCAAACATTGGAGAACTACTGTTCAGGACTACCATTCTAAGATTCACATGAGAAAGAAATAAACTTACCTTTATTGCATATTTAAGAATTTTTAGATTATTTAGAGCAGTGGTTCTTAACAGGGGTGATTTTGTGCTCCAGGGGACAGTTGGCAATCTCTGGAGACATTTTTGGTTGTCACAACTCGGGGCTGGATACTACTGACATGTTAGTGTGGGTATAGGCCAGGGATGCTGCTAAACATCCTACGATGCACAGGACAGCCAGCTCAAAATGTTAGTAGTGCTGAAGTTGGAAAGCCCTGATTTAGAGAGAACAGTTAAACCCGTAGGAAGCTTGATGCTAACCATATAGTGGTCCACAAAAGAGAGAGGAGACTAGCATCCCTCTAAACACCACATTTGCAAAATGACTAGTGAAGATTACAAAATGTCCACAAGATGTGGCAGATTTGTCTTCCCAAATATCTGTTAACCAGTTTTCCTTCTAAACAACTTCTGGAGTAGAAATTTCCCAAAGTATTGTATTATTGGATTTAGACATAATGTAAACAGGTAAGAACTCTATTGTATTTCTGAATTAATGATGGAAATTGAGCTATTTGTTTTAACTCATTAAAGTTAAATTTAAGAGTTAGTCATCTTTAGATTGTTTTCCTGATAACATTTGTTAAGGAATACCTCTTCAGCCCAAAATGTTACAAAGCACCAGGCAAGAATAGGGTGCTGAAAACAAACAAAGTATTGTTCAAATTTCCATAAATGCGGCATGTAGTTGGGTGAACTAACTCTTTGAAAGGTTCTAAAGAAGTTCTTTGGCAAGAAAATTAAAATAATGAGTGGTGGCATGGCTATGAAGATACAGTTCACACACACACTTTTTAGTCTAAGTAAAAAACTGAGGTGAATATAGAATTATGAAGACGTCTCTTCACCTGTCTGAAATAATGAAGTACATGGCATCCTTTGAAATGTTTAAGACCTTTCACTGAAATGATCATATACTCCATTTTACAGAGTTAATTTCTTAAAGGATTTAAAGCACAAGTAGAAGAAAATCAGAATCAATCAGGTTTTTATTAGAAAAACACAATAATAGGTTTTTAAAGAGTGAATGCCAGTCTTAGTATTTATTTTTTCTTTCCCTGTCAGTATTTACATAAATGCAAATTTTTTTCCTATTTAAAAAGAATTGTTTGCAGATAGATTCCCTATGAAGCACTCCCTGATCATATCCTCTTGCTATCCTTCACAAGTTATCACCATCCTGAATTGTATGCATATATTCCCAAGCAGATATCCATTTTTATTATATGTGTTCCCCAATTAAAACATATATTGTTTAGCCAGCCCTTGTGGTCTAGTGGTTAAGATTCAGCACTCTCACTAACCGTAGCTCAGGTTCATTTCCTGGTCCGGGAACCACACCACCCATCTGTCAGTTGTCATACTATGGTGGCTGCGTGTTGCTGTGATGCCAAAAGCCATGCCACCAGTATTTCACATACCAGCAGGGTCACTCATGGTAGACAGGTTTCAGTGGAGCTTGCAGACTAAAACAGACTAGGAAGAAGGACCTGGCCACCCACTTCTGAAAAATTTGGCCATGAAAACCCTGTGAGTAGCAGTGGAGTATTGTCTGATATAGTGCTGAAAGGTGAGAGGATGGTGCAAAAAGACTGGGCAGGGTTCCTCTGCTGTACGCAGGGTCTCTAGGAGTCAGAATCAACTCGACGGCACTGACAACAAATATATTGTTTGCAAAATTAAAATAATTTATTTGAATTGCTTCACCCTTTTCTTATATTTATTATACAAACATTATACCTACAACCCCAAATCACACTGCCTGAACTAGTCTAAATTTTTTTTAAATATTATTTAATAGATCTAGACTTCTTATATTCACTAGGATATATAATTTTAACAAGATTGCCAAAATAATTGTTAGTTGAACAATCAATTGAAAATATGTCTTGAGTTACTCATCTGCTAAGTTATCATGACGTATTTATATCTGTGCCATTTTATGTTCACATTGAACTTTCACGTATGTTTGATTTGTTTTTAACAACTACACATTGTAGACAGTGGTCTACATAAAACAGAGGCTTTAAGAGTCCTAAGACCAGCTTCTCTTGGAACCACCTCACCTCTAGCAGATCAGCCTCTGAGAACTCATTTCATCCTTTGCAAAAGGGAAACAATCAATGCAAATGAAGTAAAAGACTATGTAGATCTTTATAGCACAGTGCAGATCTCAGGCTGGGAGAGGTAGAGGTTACATGATTTGGCTAAGATAATAGGATAATTTTGATTTTTTTTTAAAAAAAAGACATTACCACTATATTAAGAAAAAAAGACATATATCATTTAAAGCAGGTAGTTTTAGGACTTTTATTTTTTAACCTTGTTTATGAAATCTTTTCAAATCTTACTAATAAATGGTCATCTTATGGTGTGGGAAATGGGTTATACTGTGAATTATAAGAACTAAATTTTTGGCTTGTCTTTTTTTATCACTACTGGACTAAACATTTCTATTTATCTTTTCAATTGAAAAAATATATTTATCATTTTAAATCTTTTTCCATACCCACAGGTGTTGTTATAATTGATGACCACCCTGAAGTAACAGTAGTTGAAGACCCCCAGTCAAATTTGAATGATGATGGTTTTACTGAAGTGGTATCCAAAAAACAACAAAAACGTTTACAGGATGAGGAACGCCGAAAGAAGGAAGAACAAATCATACAGGTTTAGTGTTTCAGTTTGTTGCTAGTTATTCAGATTGTTTGCCCAAAATACATTAGCAAATGGTCAAGATCTCTATATACCGTAAAGTCAAGTCTGTATTTGTTATTCAAGTGTTAAGAATGACTTTATTTTCACAACTTTAAACTGTTTTTAACCAGAATTGGGATATATTTTAAATAGAGTACAATCACTGTAGCTCACTGTTTTCCTTGGAGTAGACCATCTTTACTTTAATTCAACAACGTATTTTATGTTTTATTACTAGTTATCTTATTTGCCCCATCTTCATGTCAGAGTTAATTTTAAATTGTCTTGGAAATCGGATAAACACAACTACCATGATCTAATAAATTGCAGATTCTTGACCTATCAGGTTTCTACTATAATCTAAATTAGTTCACTTAAATACGCAGTATGAATCAAGATAAGTTATTCCATTTTAATCAACCCAAACACCCATTTTGCTCAATGCTGACACAGGATAAAAATAAATAGAACACATGGATCATAGTGACAAAGAGCTCTAAGAGACAAAAAGGCTTAAAAACAGGAAACACTAAAAATCCTATGTGGATGGTAGTGTTGAGTTCAATTGACTATAACCCTTGGGACTAGATCTTTTCAGAAGTCATTTATTTATTTATTTTTAGGAAGGTAAAAATAGTAGTGCATTTATCCTATATAGCATAACACCCCAGCAACACTCCCAGAATTAATGTTTCTGTGGCAAACATGAGTTGAGTGAAGTCAGTAAGTAGCTTTTTGTCAGATTAGGTCAGATTTTGCTGCCAAATGAATTTACTGCAGACGTGCTTAAATTTTTGAATTTCAGAATTGTGGAAAAGAGGTTGTGTTGTTGTATATCAGGATGTATAATGCATATTTGTCATTTTTCCCTTATTGCATCTTGGTTTCTCCTAATTTAAAATCTCGTTAGCAGCCTTGACATTTTTGCCCTATCAAATATTATTTTGAAAAGTAAAGGTGCTAAATTAGCAGTAGGTAGCTTTATGAGCAATTGTATTCATGAACTGTTGCTTTCAGCTGTATTATTGGCAAAAATTATTCCTACCAATTTTTTAAGGTCTGGAACAAAAAGAATGCAAATGAAAAAGGAAGAAGTCAGAGTTCTAAGCTTCCTCCAAGATTTGCCAAAAAACAGGCTACAGGGACCCAGCAAGCACAGTCTCCAGCTCCAGCTTCAGGTCCAGCTCTAGCCTCAGCTCCAGGTCCAGCTTCAACCTCAGCTCCAGTGCCAGCCTCCACCTCAGCTCCAGTTCCAGCCTCAACCCCAGCTCCAATTCTAGCATCACCTTCAGCTCCAGCTCCAGCCTCAGCTGCAGCTCCAGTCCTAACCTCAACCTCAGCTCCACTCCCAACCTCAGCCTCAGCTCCAGTCGCCGTCTCCACCTCAGCTACAGCTACAGCCTCTTGCTCTTCAGCTCCAACGCCCATCCTTGCCTCAGCTTCAACCCCAGCCTCTGTCCCCATCCTTGCCTCAGCCTCAATTCCCATTCTTGCTTCAGCCCTTGTACCAACTTCAGCTCCAGCTCCAACCATCTCAGCCCCAGCTGCCCCAGCCATCTCGGTCCCAGCTGCCCCCACCTCAGCCCCAAATGCCCCAGCCTCACTCCCAGCTTCAGCCCCAGCCTCAGCCCTAGTCCCAGTCCCAGTTTCAGTCCCAGCCCAAGTCCCTGCTGCCCCAGTCCAGACTCAGGGACAGACTCACAAACCAGTCCAGAGTCCACTACAGGCTACAACACAGTCTTCAAAACAGCCACCACCTTCAATTAGACTACCTTCAGTTCAAACACCTAATGGCACAGATTATGTAGTCACAGGAAAATCCATCCAGACCTCACAGTCACATGGCACTCTTACAACTGAATTATGGGATAACAAGGTGGCCCCAACAGCTGTGCTGAATGACATCTCTAAGAAATGTAAGTGTGCAACGGAGAAGTGAGGGATGGGGAATGGCGTGGGAATATTGGGGTTTGTTTTTAATTTTATTTACACATTGAGTATGTTTTTTCCTAGTCATCTCTTTTTTCTTAGTAGGAAACATTAATAGTAATCTTTTCTTAGATTCCTTTCTTAAAACCTTTGTTTCTAAAACAAGTGTTTTATACTTTTAACAGACATTTTATGGACACAATTTTATGTTGATAGAAAAACAATATACAGTGTTTGGGGGGTCTTATATCTATTTGGGTATGCAAGAGTCTCTAACTGTGATGTGAAAAGTCATTGTTTTATTGTCTAGCTACCATTAAAAGAAAGGATTAAATAGAAATTATTAGCCCCTACATTTTAATGGTCACATTTCCTATGGCTTCTTCTTTTCAGTAGGTCCCATTAGTCCACCACAGCCACCTTCAGTCAGTGCGTGGAATAAACCCCTAACATCGTTTGGATCAGCTACTTCATCAGAGGTAGGAATAGACTTAATAATGGCCTTGATGGGGTTAGTGTGGCAGAGTTTCCTTAAAACAGTTTCTGAGCATGCATCAGAATCATCAAGAGAGCTTATTAAAATAGATTGCTGGGACCCATGCCCAGAGTTTCTGATTCATTAGGTCTGGGTTGAGGCCTGAATACATTTCTGAGAAGTTCCCAAGAGATGCTAATGCTGTTGGATCTCTACATTTATTAGCTGCTTCTTACCTTTAGACTTATTAAGGTTAACATTTTTTTAATTCTAGTCTCAAGAAAACTCCTTGTGATGCAGAGAATATAAGTGCAGTTACTATTTTCTGGATTTTTCTACCATGTTTTTAGCTTGTATAATTACTTGGAAGCAGAGTTCACAGGAGATTGTTCTAATGTAATTTCTCAAATGTGCAGTGTTGCTAAATGACTGTTTAGGTCAGCACTTCTTCATTCATTCATTGAACAAACATTTATTGAGCACTTGTTATGTCCCAGGCACTGTTCAAACCTGTGGGCTTACAAAACGTGGCAGGTGGCCGGGGTGCGGCAAAAACGTACAAAAAGCCCTGTGCTCATGGGGCCTCCATTTGGGTTGGGGGGACCAACAGTAAATAAATTACAGTGTGTTGTCAGTACTGAGAAGAAAAGCAAAGCAAGGAGGGTACACAAGGAATTTCCCAAGAGGTGTGGAGACAACTTAAAATAAGGTGGGCAGGAAAGGCTACGTAGGTGACATTTGAGTTAAAAACTTGAAGGAGGTAAGAGAGCGTGCTATTCAAATGTCTGAGGAAAAGTGAACTCCTAGTTCAAAGAATAACAAGTACAAAAGCCTTGAGACAGGAGCATGTGTTTGAGGAAGATCAAGGAGGACTGTGTGGCTGGAGTGAAGTAAGGCATGGAGAGAGAAGAGATGAAGTTGGGAAGATAATAGGGGGAGGATCCTATGGGGCCTTTGCTAGAGGTAGGAAAACAATAGATAGGTTTGGTTTTTTGATTTTTTTTTGGTGAGGAAGATCAGCCCTGAGCTAACATTGTTGCCAATCCTCCTCTTTTTTGCTGAGAAAGATTTGCCCTGAGCTAACATCTATGCCCATCTTCATCTATTTTATATGTGGGACGCCTGCCCCAGCGTGGGTTGATAATTGGTGTGTAGGTCTGCGCCCGGGATCCGAACCTGTGAACCCCGGGCCAGCCCCAACAATAGATAGTTTTGAGCAAAAGAATGACAGAATCTGACTTTTAAAAGATTATTCTGGGTGGTCTGTTAAGAATAGTCAGTGGGGGGCAAAGAGTAGAAGTTAAGATGCTATTGCAATAATCAAAAGATGATAAACCGGGGAAGTGGCATTAAAAGGGATGAGAAATGGTTGGTTTCTGGGTGTTCAAAGATAGAGCTGACAAATTTATTGATAGATTAAATGTGGTATGTGAGAAAAATGAGTCAGTTATCTCCAAAGTTTTTGGATTGAGCAACAAGAGGGATGGAGTTCCCATCAGTTGAGATTGGGAAGCAATAAAATGAATCAGCACTGGGGGAAAAGATAAGGAAGTTCAGTTTTGGACAGGTTAGATTTAAGATGTACATATCTAAGTGGAAATGTCAAGTAAGTAGTTGGATATAAGAGTCTGTAGTTCAGAGGAGATAATCTAGTTTGGAGACATAAATTTGAACATCATTAGGTGGTGCTTAAAGTGATGAGCTTGGATGAGATCACTAAGGGAGAATGAGTTATGAGATTAGTTAGAAAAGAGAAGAGATTCAAAAATTAAGTCCTAGAGCTTTCCAACTTAGAGATGTGGGAGAAGGAGAAGGTAAGTGATTGGAAAAGTGTCCTGGAATCCAAGTGAAAGATGAGTTTAAAGAGGGATAAATCAAGTGTGTCAGATGCTGCTGGGCGGTCAAGTAAGAGAGGCCCTGAGAATTGACAGCTGGAGTTAACAACGTGAGGTCACTGGTTACTTTGACAAGAACAATGTTGGTGGAGCGGTAGGCATGAAAACCTGGTTAGAGTGAATTTAAGAGAAAGTGGGAGTGAAGATGAGTGTAGAGAAGCTTAGAGTAGTTTTGCTGCAGAGGGAGCAGATAAATGAATAGTTGAGAGTTTTTTTGTTTTTTTTTTCCTAGTGAGAAAGATTTGCTCTGAGCTAACATCTGTTGCCCATCTTCCTCTTTATTTTATTATTATTATTATTTTTTTGCTTGAGGAAGACTAGCCCTGAGCTAACATCTGTGCCAGTCTTCCTCTTTTATCTATGTAGGTCTCTGCCACAGTGTGGCTTGGCAAGTGGTGTAGGTCTGCGCCCGGGATCCGAACCCAGGCCACTGAAGCGGAGCACACCA